CAAGGGGAGGCAGAACATTATGGCAGAAGAGTACGGTGGAGGAAAGTATCCCAAAACATGACTTCAGGAAGCAGAGAGACTGTTCTCACCATGACAGAATAGAAACCCCAGAGGCACCCAATGAACCACTTCCTCTGGCCACCCTACCTGCTTTCAGTCACCACTCAGTTAATCCCTATCAGGGGATTACTTCACTTATTGGGTTAAGGCTCTCGTAATCCAATTACTTCACCTCTAAACTCTCTTGCATTGCCTCACACATCAGCTTTTGGGAGACCCCACATATCTAACTTAAACATGCAGTAAAGGTAAAAAACACACACACACACACACAAATAAATAAATAAATAAAGGACAGTATAATTGAATTTTTTTGTTTGTAAGTCTTTCATCTCATTCAAAACACAATAGCATACTATAGAAATTATACATTTGTGTTGAGTAAACAATGTGTAAAGAAATAACTGTAGGATAATAACAACACAAATGAAGGAAATGGAGCTATATACAAAGTTTTTTTACACTATTGAACTTAAGTTCATATTAATCTAAACTACATTATTGTAAATTAAGATGCTAAATGTGATTCCAAAGGAAACATCATCAACAAATCTTTAGTTAGACTGAGACAGAAATAGAGAAAGCACAGTTACTAAATTTGGGAATAATGGTGTTACTAATTTGCTCAGAAGTGATTTTAGTAATTCAAAAGAGGGGACATTACTACTGAGTTTACAGAAATAAAAAACAATTTAAGAGGAATAATACGAACAGTTATATGTCAGTAAATTAGGTAATATAGGTAAAATATGGAAATTTCAGTGAAGACAAACTTCTAAAACTGACACAAGAAGAAATAGAAAATCTGTATAAATTCAAAACTAGTAAAGAGATTGAATCGTTAATGGAAAAAAAATCCCACAGCAAATGTCCAGGACCAGATTACACTGCTAAATTCTATGAAATTTTTCAGGAATAATTAACACAAATCCATCACAAACCCTTCCAAAAACTAAAACAGTAATACTCTCCAACTCATTCTATCAGGCTAATATTACCTTGATATGAAAACTAGACAGAGATATCACATGAGGAAAAAAAGTGCTTATAAATAGCTCTTATTAACATGGATACAAAGCTCCTTAACAAAACATCTGCAAATTGAACTTTATGACAGGAAAGGATTATACTCCATAACCAAGTGGATTTATCCTAGGAATACAAGTTTAATTTAATATAAAATCAACCCATAAGTAAACCACATTAAAAGAATAAGGGGCAAAATCCACAGGATCTTTTTAAGAGACAAAAAAAAATGTTGAAATTTAAAGACCTTTTCCTCATTAAAAATAAATAAGTATGCAACAAATTAAGAATAGAAGGTATATTTCTCTATCCATAGTATTAACAAAATCCCCAAGGTTGCCCACCCCCCTTAATGATGAAAGACAAAAAGTTTTCATCCTAAGATAAGAAATAGGAAAAGATGTCTGCTCTTGCCACTTCCCTTCAACATTTACTGGAGATACTGTCCAAGGGAAATTGGAGAGAGAGCAAAATAAAAGACATTAACATTGGGAATAAATAAGTGAAACTACCTCTAATTGAAGATGACATATCGCAGAATAAAGGATGAACGTACCAAATTCAAATGTACTTCTGTATACAGTGATCAATATGAAATAAAAAATAAAATGATTTCAGTTAAAAGGTGTAAAATAAGAAAATGATGAATAATAAATCTGACAAAGGAAGTACAAGACTTTACACTGCAAACTATCACTGAAATACCGTTAGAGAAATTTGAGAATGCGTAAATCACGGCAACGTCCCATGCTCACGTATCGGAAGGTTGAATATTGCTAATATGGGGCCGGGAAGGTAGCTCAGTAGTAGGTCACCTGCCTAGCATGCACAAAACCCTGGGTTTGACAACCAGCACAAAAAACATACAAACTCACATACACATGCACACGCACGCGGGCACACACACACACACACACACACACACATATGCACAGTCCAAAAATTGATCCACAAATTTCAAGAAATCTAATTTTGTAGAAATTAACAAGAAGATCTCAAAATTCAAATAGAAATGCAAGAGATTTAGAAAAGCCACAACGATCCTGAAAGCAAAAACAAAGGATGATAATTCACACTTCCAGATTCCAAAACTTCCTACAAAGCTACAGTAATAAAGACCCTGGTTCTGGCATAAGGGTGGACATCTAGGTCAATGAACTTGAACTGAAAGGCTCAAAATAGATTTTGAAAAAGGTGTCCAAAATATGCAATAGGAAAAAAATCAGAACCGTGTTTTCAACAAATGGTGCCTAGACATATGGATAGCCACCTGCAAAAAAAAAAAAAAAAAGAAGAAGAAGGAGAAGGAGAAGGAAGAAGAAGAAGAAGAAGAAGAAGAAGAAGAAGAAGAAGAAGAAGACAGACCCTTTTCTCACACTATACATAAAGAAATGACTCAGAAAGGATCAAAGGTCCAAACATAAGGGCTAAACCTATAAAACATTTAAAAGAATACATAGAATGAATCTTTGTGGTCTTAAATGAGGTGACAGTTTCTTAGAACACCCAAAGCATAAGCAACTGAAGAAACATAGATAAATTAGACTTCATCAAAATGAGAAAGTTTGTGTGGCAGGCGACACTATTAAGAAAATGAAAATGCAAACAACGTAACAAGAGAAACTATTTGCAGATCCTATATGTGATAAGATTATGTCCAAAATATGTAAATGCACATCATGACTTAGAACACAACAATAAAAAAGAAAAGAAAGCCAGTTTTAAAAAGGAACAAGGGATTGGGGTCAGCAGTTCTCTAAAGAAAATACGCAAGTGGCCAAGAAACACCTGAGAAGATGCTCAACATCATGAGTCATTAGGGAAACCCAAGTCAAGATCACAATGAGACACTTCTTCACACTCACTCAGGCAACTATGATCCTCCCTAGGATGGCCATGATGGACAACAGCAAGTGTTGGAAAGGATATGGAGAAATCAGAATCCTCAGATATTGCTGATGGGAATGCAATATGGCGCAGCCGTTTTGGAAAACTGTTTGGTAACCTGGTACAATTGCACACGCCTGTAATCCCAATGGCTCGGGAGGCTGAGGCAGGAGGATCACAAATTCAAAGCCAGCCTCATCAAAAGTGAGGTGCTAAGCAACTCAGTGAGACCCTGTCTCTAAATAAAATACAAAGTAGGGCTGGGGATGTAACCCAGTGATTGAGTGATCCTGACTTCCATCCCCAGTACCCCCCACCCCAAAAAAAGAGTTTGGTAATTCTTCAAAAAGTGAAACATAAAGTTACCATATAGCCCAGCAATTCCACTCTTAGGCATTTACCCAAATGAAATGAAATGAAAACACGCCCACACAAAAACATGTGCATGAATGTTTCTGGCTTCATGGTAACTGTTTCATGATAACTGAAAGGTACAAACAGCCAAATGTTCATTAAAAATGAATTCATTCGAAAATGGTAGAGTCATATGATAGAATATTATTCAACCACAGAAAGAATAACATTCTAATCCATTTTACAAAGTGGATGAACCTTGAATGCATTATGTCAAATGAAATAAGTCAGACCCCCAAAATGACATATTGTATGATTCCATTAATAGAAATGTCAAGAATAAGCAAATCTATAGAGTCAGAAAATAAGTAAGTGATTGCCAGCGTCTAGGGGAAGAAATAAGTGAGAACTGATGAAGACAGGGTGGTCTGTGTGTGTGATGATGAAAACGTTCTGGAATTAGAGAGTACTAGTTGTCACATAACGTTGTGGAGATACTATAAAGTATTGAATTCTGTGTTTTAAAAGAATGAATTGCATGGTTTATGAATTGCATCTCAATTTTTAAAAATTAAAAAATCAGCAGTAAATTAAAATGGTACTCTAAAAAACATCTGCTAGACTAATGAAGAAAGAAGAAATAAATTGCAGATAATAGGAATGAAAAAGGAAACATCATTACTAACCCTAAGGAAATTTAAATGCTTATAAGAAAATATTATGTGTTAAGCAATTTAAACAAAAGGACAAACTCCTAAAAAAAAATCACATTACTAAAACTGATTCAAGAGATGGAAAATCTAAATAGAGTTATATAAAAGGCAAAGAAATCTAATGTGTAATTCAATTTATAATTCAATTTATAATCTTCCTGCAAGCAGAAACCCAGCAGCAAATGGTGAATCTTATAAAATATTAAATTATAAATTAAAAAATAATTATAAATATAATTGTAAAAATAACAATGACTTAAAAATCACAAATAAGAACAATCGTACGTAAATTCCATAAGGAAATAGAGGAGAGAGAAAACCTGTTCAATCTAGATTAAATAACTGACTCATTTAACTTGAAAATAAGAAGATAAAGCCAGGTGCGGTGGCACATACCTGCAATCCCAGAGACTTGGAAAGCCAAGGCAGAAGGATGGTAAGTTCAAGACCAACCTGTGCAACTTAGCAAGACCCTGTCTCAAGATAAAAAATTTAAGGAGTTGGAGATGTGGCTTAGTGGGACAGAGTACCTGAATTCAATTGCCAGTACTGAAACTCAAAAGAAATAAAAGAAAAGAAAATATTTTTAAATGCAGATCTGAACAGAAATTCATCAAAGAAGATGGCAAATAAGCATCTGAAGTCATGTTCAACATCACCAGTCACCAGGGAAATGCAATTTAAAACCTCAATGTGATATCATTATACAGCTATCAGAATGACTGAAATAAAAAAAAATACTGGCAATACCCAGTGCTGTGGGAATATAAAACAAGTAGATCTCTCCCATACTGTTGATGGAAAAGCAAAATGGTAAGCCACTCTGGAAAATAGTTTGACAGTGTGCATCAAGATAAATATGCATGTATCACATGTTCTCGCAACCTCACGACTAGACATTTACTCTGGAGAAGTGAAAACACAGGTTCACAAAAATCAGTGTGCATTTTTATAGCGGCTTTATTTTTAACTGGAAACAATTCACATGTCTTGGCACCAAAGAATGGATTTAAAAGCTGTAATAAATCCATTGAATGGAACATTACCCAAAATTAAAGAGGAAGAAAACACTGATACCCACAAAATGATGGATAAATAGTGAATTCATTTTGCCAAGAGAAGAGGTAATGTGTTATGTTATCCCATGATGTGGTTTCCATGTGGATAGTGTTCCCCTAAGATCCATGGTCAGAAGCTTGGTCCCCAAGGTAGTGCTATTGGGAGGTGATGGAACCTTTAAAAGGCGGGGCCTGGTGGGAGGTCTTGGTCACTGGCCTCTCTCTGCTTCCTGACTCCTGATAGCATTCACTTCTACATGCCATCCACAGTGATGGGCTGCCCTCACCAGGGACCCAAGCCAAGGGGGCAACCTGATCTTGAACTTGAATCCCCAGAACTATAAGCCAAAATAAACCTTTCTTTACTTCATAGGTAGCTTGTGTCAGGTATTTCATTGTAGTAACACAAAACTGACACATGCACTCCATTAATGTGACCATCCAGAAAAGACTAAACTATATGGATAGAAAACACATCCAGGGTTTCATAGGCTGGGCATGGAGATGGGGCAGGTGAACTAAAGAAGGGCTAACAGAAGGGAATCTGTGAGTGGCAGAACCATTCTAAGTCATGATGACTCATAATACATAAGTCTGCTAACCAAACCATGAAACTATGCCATGGTGAATCTTATTGTGTGTAAATTTTAAAGACGTCAATCATAATACGTGAAAAACCTAAAATAGAATACAAATTGTAATAAATGAACTTACTTAGTTTACAAATGGATAAAATAATCACACTAAAGGGAGTGGGGAGGAAAAGAACCAAACTGAGTTACTTTGGGGAAATGGCATTTTAAGTGAATGTTGTAAGACTAAAGACAAAACAATGTACAAATGCTACATTTTAACTAATAATTTAGTTTCTCACAAGAGCACAATGGAATATTACCCAGCCATAAAGAAGAATGATTTTATGACATTTGCCAGTAAATGGGTGTATCTGGAGACTTTCGTGCTAAGCGAAATAAGCCAACCCCCCAAAACCAAAGGTCAAATGTTTTCCCTGATATGTGGAAGCTGACCCACAATAAAAGGGGGAGACAAAGGGAATGGAGGAAGGCTAGAAATAGGAAAGACAGTAGAATAAATCTCACATAATTTTCCTAAGTATTTAGCTATATTCCATGCTTGTATAATTTTATCAAAGTGGATTCCACTGTCATATATAACAAAGAAAAACCCCCCAAATTTCTGTTTTAAAAAGAGCATGGGTCAGCAATTCTGGCTCTGCTTTACATAAATACCCAGGTTGAACAAATAAGTAAATGTCTTTTAATCAAGGACACCCAGGATTGACACTGTTGGATAAAGATGCTACACATAAGAAAAGGGAAATGAGAATGAATCCTGGGGGGTGAACTGAAGTCAGAGGTACCAGAACAAACTGAGAACACTGAAGTCAGTGTAAACGTGTGTGTTTGCAGGGTGAGCACCCACACCTCCATCGCCAAGACCTGTGTCCCCAAGAGGACATAAAAGTAACGGCACCCAGAGGTCAGTGGGCACACCCCCTGCCTGGTCTTGGTTTATGAACACCAATCTTCAGTTAAAAAAGAAGAAAAAGAAGCTTCTGAGACACGTGGTGACCCCAGGACAGGAACCGACCTGAAGGAGAAATGAGAGGAATCCAGTTAGTCATGAGGCTGTTGGATCATGACCTACAGACTGATATCAACCTCCAGGAGGTCACATTGATGTGACGAAGTAGCTGAATAAACAAAGGGAGGCAGATTTTTTCCTTATAGACGAATTTCTGATACATGGAGAAGGGATGAGAGAATGATGACCCAATTCCTCTAGAACACCACAGTGCAGATTGTCGTAGGTGATCTACCCATGGACGCTAAGAATAGTGGAGAGAAGGCGTATGCACAGGCTCCAAGGACCAGCCCTAAGGCATCTATTAACTGCAACTTGATCCATGAGAAATCCATCATTTATAGCCTTAAAGTCTCTGTTCCCTGATACCACACGCTGACGTACTAGGTGACTTATTCATGATGTGTGCTGTTCATTGCCTTAACTTGTCTTCCCCACAGGGAAGAAACTTTGGCCAAATTCTTCCATTGAATTTTCCCAAAACACCCAGAACAGTGCTCAGCACACGGACCCGGTAACTATCTGTTGAAATAAATGAAGGTACGATTGAGACCGGTGACCTGCGTGACCGTAGTATGTGGTGTTGTATTCCTGGTAAGTGCTTTTTGATTGACGGTCATCTGAGTTGGTTGAGATCCTTTGAGCAACGGGTTATGATTCTAGAAATAGAGCCAGGAAATAACTGCATTCACTCGGGGCCATTGCTAATTCACAAATGTCTTTGTGTGAATCGGGAAGAATGTCCCTTCCTGCACACAAGCGCAGCCCCTGCACCAGGATGAGAGGACTCGGCAACTGAACTGTGGCCTGGATTTTGTCCCCACTCATCCCCTTAACCAGGTGAAATTGTGCAGTACACAACCTGCCCAATAGTACATGATGGCCCTGTATTCACACATAGACACCACTCTCGGTCACAGCTGTGCCTGGAGCATCCTGTAAAAGCATCCTGCTCTCTGGTGTGGGTCCCCGTGGGCTTCCCCAGACCCCCTCCCAAACTGGCTTGCTCAGACCTGCCTAGGCACTGTGGCAGGCCCTTTGGCCCAGATTGGGTTTTTCCTCTCAGCTCATTCTTTTGGTTTCCAAATCCCTGTCCATGACGCTGTCTCAGAACCCCATTTGTTCTAAGTCTCACAGTAAGGCTCCCCTTTCCCAGAACAGATCTCTCTTCCCCAAGCCACTATCTGAGCTGGCAACAGCTTCCTGCTTGCCTTGAAGGGGGATCCAGACACCACTGAATTCCCCCATGATATTCAAAGTTTGTACCAGAAACCCTATGCTGCCCTGAGCTAAGGGGGCAGGCAGGGGGGCGGGAGTTGTATGTCTAAGCATTGGACTATGGATATTCCAGGCCTTCAGGATGGACACTGTCATTTTAACTTGGAAAAAACTTTAAGGCACAATCACTTCCCACACCAAAGAATTTTAATAGAGCACCTACAGAAAGTCTGGCTTGCAGAGATGAGACTGGGGGAGGGGTAGATTAAAAGGCTACAAAATGTAAACCTTTGGTGACTGGCTAATGAGTGTGCCAAACCAGACGAGGTAAAGGCAAATCGACTGCGGAAAAAGATTTTGGTTTATAAAACACTTGACTTTTAGCTGTTCTTTCTGCATGTAATTATATAGCAGGGTCAGAACCATTCTGCAATCTAAGAATTCACTCCCTAACTTATGTTATGCAAGTTCCTGTCTTGGTATGTTTGAAGGAGCTCAGCTATACTTAGCGTGGAACCCAATATGTGTGTGAGGAAAGTGACTTTTTGCGAGAGTCCTGTTGCTGCGTGTCTGCTTGGGCAGATGCCCCATGGGAAAGGAGTGGCCACCCAGCCAGACCCTAGGAAGAGATTTGAGTGAAAGAGCAAAGAATGGGACTTCCTGGAGCCCTTGAAATGACTCTCTGATTCAACATCTGGATTGAAACATGGACTTGAACATACATCTTTCCAAAAATGGTCTACAAATGCCAACAAATACGTGAAAAGATGCTCAGCATCACTAATCATTAGGGAAATGCAAAACAAACACCTAGTGACATAACACCTCACACCCATCCAGGTGGTTACTATTAAAAAAAAAAAAAAAAAAAAAACATAATAGTAAGCGTTGGCAAGAATGAAAAGTTAAAAACCTTTGCTCTGTTTGTGGCCATGTAAGATGGTGCAGTCACTGCGGAAAATGGTAGGGCAGGTAACCCAAAATTTAAAAACAGAATTCCCATAAGGTTTACCAACTTCCCTTCTGGGTATATTTTTAAAAGTATCGAAAGAAGGATCTCAAAGAGACATTTGTACACCCCTGTTCATAACTGCATTATTCACAACAGCCAAATGGAAGAAACAACCATGAGTTCATCAACAGACAAATGTATTTTTTCCATGCCAGAGAATGTTTCTCAGTCTAAAAAAGAAAAGAAATTTTGCCACAAGCTGCAATGTGGATGAACCACAAGGGCTTTAACCTAAATAACCAATACCATGTGATCCCCCTGCAAAAGGTATCTAGAGTAATCAATTTCACAGAGATGGAAAGTAAAATGGGTCTCCAGGGGCTGGGAGCAGGGGGAGGCAGGGGGAGTCCTTGAATGGACATAAAGTTTCAATTTTGCAAAAGGAAAAATTCTGAAGATAGATGAGGTAATGGTTGCACAACAAGGTGAATATAATTAATGCCTCTGAATCATACAGTTCACTGTGCACACTTAAAATGGCAAATTTTCTGTTTTATTTATTTTATTACTTTTTTTAAATTGGGGGAGGGGGGGTGACTCTCTGAATTTAAAAGGGAAATCACTGTGGCCTGAGATACAATTTAGAAAATTTGACCATTCTGACCCAAGTTTCAATGTGAAATAGATGTTTTCCAAACCTCAGCCACAGTGTGATGGATGCAAGCCTGGTAGGCATGTCCCCTGGTGTGACCATCCTGGAGGGAGCTGTGGGTGGAGAGCCTTGTAACTGAGCAGGTCCTCTGATACAGTAATACCACTTGCAGGCATCTCGCCCTAAGAAACAATCACAGATGTCCACAGATGTATCTGTAAGGATGAACGTCTGCTTATGGCATCAAGTAATCAGAAAAAAATTATATGTACAAAAGCCGGGCATGGTGACATACTATCACTGTAAAATTAATAAGAACTATATTGTCAAAGAACAATGGTCTTGGAACATGTTCTCAATATATTCCTAAATGTTTAAAAAGCACATTACACAGAATCAAGTTCAATATGTATTTTTTTACTAAAAATTTACATATGTATGTAAAGAGAGAGCAAGTCATAATACAACGGATTTCATCTTCATGTATCTTTTCTTTTTTCAAATTTTTAAGATCATCCTTAAGTTATTTATGTGGTCAAAAAATAAAAATAGTCTAAGACGGAAAGATCATGAGTTCAAAGCCAGCCTCAGCGACTCCGCAAGGCCCTAAGCAACTGAGCAAGACTCTGTCTTAAAATAAAAAAGAAAAAGAGCTGGAGGTGTGATGTGGTTATATGCCCAGAGTTCAATCCCTGGTAAATAATGAGGAGGAGAGAAAGAAGGAGAAATTATTTTTAAATTAAATTAGTCTCCTCAATTCCCAATTGGAGAATACGAGTCATTGACCAAGTTGATTTTTTTCCCTCACAAATATAAAAAGTGGGTGCAAAAAGTGTTTGCTGTCCTAAGCGAAGCTTTAAGACAAAAATCATATGACTGTCAGGAGGGTTTTAAATGTTTCAGAGAATATGCGCTGCCATCACCTCACCAGCACCTATTTGCATGTAAGTCCTGGGAACACTAATTTGCATTCATTCCCACTCCTTTTCCTTAAAACTAGTCGTCCTGGGCTGAGGACCAGCTCAGGGGCGGAGGGCTTGCTGGGCATGCGCATGGCTCTGGGTTTCATCTCCAGAAGGGGGCGGAGGTGGGGTGCTTCTTAAACAACCCCCCCCAAAAAAAACATCCCCCCGCCCCCAGTCACTCAAACTTCCCACCAACCACTACTTCAGGGTGTGCGTGGGTCGAGAGTCAGGAGAAAGGTCGCCTGGGGCACCAGGAGCTTGGGCCTGGTCTGCATTTGAGTTAGGGTCAGTCCTGGGGCTCCGAGGTTCCGCTGGGTCCCATCGTCTAAGTATGTTCATGCTGTGGATTTTGCTCTAAAATGCTCCAAAGGGACGTCTGCCTTAGCTCCTCGTTGGGGCCTTCGCTGCGTGTGGATTGGACTGGGAAACCTGGCCGGGTGGTAACTGGAAAGCTCCTACTGTGCGACCGGGAGGGACCGAGCATGCAGAGAGCGGAGGGGGCTGGGCTGCTGGGGCGATTCCCCAGGGTGGGCCTCGGGCTCAGGCAGGTGCTGGACGTGGGCTGCTCTGCAGGGCACTCCTCACTGATTCCGAAGTGGGCCGATGAGCTGACCTGGGTGCAGGGAATTCAGGGAGGCCAGAGAAAATGAGACTCGAGGACACTGCAGGAGAAAGCTCTGCCCTGGGGTCCAGGCAGATCCAGGCGGTCCTCTGAGGTCACGGGTCCCTCCACCCAGCTCCAGATTATTGAGATGGTTAGAGTCTGTAAACAAGTCTCGATGGCGCCTGGCAAAATGCCAGAGGGAGTGGTTTGTGAAGTAACGCCAGCGAGCCATTAAGTGAGGAGATTCCTTATTGGTTGACTGCTGTATCTAGTTTATGTTAATTAGACAAGCTGTGTGGAATGTATAAATACCTCTGTTGTCCTACAATAAAGGGCTCCTACTCCTGCTGTATTGATCTACACAAGGTGCTCGTCACCCCCCCCACACACACACACACCCCTTATTTTGCTGCAGCCGGACTGGGGCAGAGATGCACAAGAGCCATCCCAAATCTTAGCCACAGGAGCTTCAAAAAGAAACAGGGAGAAGCACGTGCGACTGTATACAAAGCCAGAAATGTGTAAACCATTCAGTTAGGGGGGGAAGGGATGAGAGACCCGCACCCAGGAAAAGCCAAGGAGATGAGCTGCCTTGACCAAGCCTAGGAACTGTCC